GAGGAAAGGAGCTGCAGATACTTGTACACACATACCCACACACACAACCCACACACATATACATATATATTTGTATATATATATATCTATATATGTGTGCATGGCGGCATTAACTATGAATCATGGTAACTGCTAATGTGGCTGTTGTTGTTGTTGTTGTTCTGTTTCTTCTTCTTCTTTTTCTCCTTTCTACTCTTCTTTTTCTTCTTCTGCTTCTTCTTCGCATAAGTAGAAGACGAAAGAAACAGCAAAAATATAAACTGAGGCAGCAAGGATTACACGCAACAGACAGAGACAGAGAGCGAGAGCGAGAGCGAGAGAAAGAGAGCGAGTGTGTGTGTATGTGTGTGTGTATCTTGTAGATAGCTTAAAGACAGTAGACACACACACACACAGAGGCACACACACACACAAAGTGAGCAAACAATACAAAGGTACACAATTTCTACCTGGGCAGCGACGTCGATCGAAATCTCTGCCTTGCCGAAAAATTAAAATTACAGATGGTTGTTGTTGTTGTTGTTGTTGTTGCTGGATGAGCATATGTACAGGAAACCAGTTTTGATGTTCAACAAACAAACCGCGTAAGTAAGAAAAACGCACAGCGAGAACAAACGGCGGCAACAATAACAACAACAACAACAACAACAGCAGCCAAAGGGCAGAAGCAGCGTCAGCAGCAAGTAGAAATTCACAGACACAAAACTACACTGAACGCAATTCAGCTGGCGTTTACCAAATTGAAGAATGAGTACACAGCACGAATTGGCAACTTTAAAGTAAATATTCAAATCTTTGCCTACAAAATATAGGTTAACAACTTTTCTAACAGCCAAAGTTCAATCTTCAAAATTTGTATGACTTTGTTGTAATCGATGCTTATCGATAATAGCGAAACGATCAAATGCACAGCCACAAAACGACACTGAACGCAATTGAGCACGGCAGCAACATCTTTGCCTAGAATGGCTACACAGAACGAAAAAAACCCAACTGGCAATATTTATAAAGAAAACTATTGAGTTTACTCCAAGCGATAAACGATTCTTATCGATAAAGTACAAGCGATCAACTTAAATTAGAAACTTGCCGCACCGCAGGCAATCAAGAACTTATATTCAATTCTGGCATTGACTCGATGCTGATCAAGCATATATAGCAGATACATACAGCAGTCTATGCCAACTTCTCCTATAGACAGAGAGAGAGAGAGAGAGAGAGAGAGAGATAGAGGGACAGATAACTCAATTATTTATTCTTATGTTTGGACAAAGACTTGGATTCGCTCTCGACTAGCGCAGCTTTGCTTGCAGTTTTTTTGCTGTGTACAAGCGATAACAACGACGACGACGACGACGATGACATAGCCACAGTCAGAGATGTTGCTGCTGCTGTTGTTGTTGTTGTTAGTGCTGCTGCTTGTTGCTGCCGCACAGGCGCACAACTTCAACTTCAAATTGAGCGCCGCGCCGCGTCGCTTCGTCGTTTTTCAGTTGTTTGCGTTTGCGTATCTTTGAGATACAATTCGCTGCTTGCCGCTTGTTGCTGCCGCGGCTTGCTGCTGCTGCTGCCGCTTGCTGTGGCGCGCACTCTTCGTTTGTCTCTTCTACTTTGTCTGTGCTGCCGCTGTTACTCAGCGTATGTGTGTGTGTATATACATTTTTATTTTGGCTATTTACTGCTGTTCCTGCACACACACACACACACACACACACACACAGAGAGAGAGGCAGCTGGTAACATGTGTGAGTGTTATGTTGCTGGCGTTGTCTTTGAATTTTTTTTTGTTTTTGCCATTTGCCAGATACTGAGATACAAAGATACTTTGCTGGCTGCTGTTGCTGTTGCTGGGACAATTGAATGTCGCCCCAATGTCCACGAATAGTTAATGCCATATATATATGGGGGAAGGGGCAGAAGTAGGCGTGGCAAGCAATTCACATATATATATATATATATATATATATATATATATATATAAATAAATAAATAGCTGCAGCTCTAGCAATAATAAATATCGACTAACATCAGTCAACTACAGAAAAATACAACAAAAATAATTGAATTAAAAATAAATTTACAGAAATTAATATAAATATAAATAAAATGTAATATTTTGGCAGTTCAGATATAAAACGATTTCATTGCACTTCTCATATCCTGTCTCAGCTAAGAGTTCTTTGTTGTGCTGCCAAACATGCACACACACACAAATATATATGATGTATATATATATATATATATATATATGATGTATATATATATGTATATATATATGTATGTACATATGTATGTATGTATGGATGTACACATGTTTTGTTGCGACAAAGAGCGCGTCGCTAAAATTCGCCTTGCTTCAATTTGCCTTCGTCTCGATTTTCGTATTTTCGTATCTTTCGGTCTCTTAACTCCAGAGCTGCGCTTAAGATACAACAACAACAACAACAACAAAAACAACATCAACAACAACAAAAAGACGAAAAAATCATATATAAACACACGCACGTAATTTCTCTGGAACTAGCAGCAACAGCCCAACTTCAAGTTTCCAACAAAAAACAACAAAAAAAACAAAAAATCACCAACATCAAAAACTAAATTTCAACAAAAATAATTAACAAAATTAAGCAGAAAACGGTGCTTAGCGAAAAGAAGAAAAAAGCATAAGGCGACATTTAAATACTCTATATTTCTATATACAAACAGATATTGGATATCCATCAAAAACGCCGACAATTTAACAGAAGGAATCGTGATCGGGATATTTACATGTCGATACTTGAAGGAGCTGTCAATTTTAGTGGCTCTAGCTCCAGTTTATCTAGCTCTACGTTTATCGATTGGCACTTATCGATGTTTATCGATGGACAAAACTGCTTGTCTGGCGAATATATATTCCACGGTTCAAGCAAACAAGTCAATTTGCATACGAAAGGAAAAATCCTTGACTAAAATAAATAATAATAACAAATAATAATGTGCGGCATAAAAATAAAATATGTATGAAATAAATAAAAGCAAATTATAATTTTTTTGGTTTGAAACATTTTCAATAATTTATTTTGTTTATTTTTTTTTTATAGATCTTGTGTGTACGCGTCTTTCTATGCTTCTTCTTATTCATCTTCAAATTCTCTTTTTTTTTACTCTTCTCGCTTCTCGAATTTCTTTTTTGCATGTCTTATTTATAAACTTAGAATCTAAATATATATATAGTTAAACATTTGATGCGCTAGTTACACCAAAAAAAAATAATCAATAATACAAAAATTTCATACATACATATATATATATATATATATCCCACATATAGTATATAGTATATACATAACTATATAGACACAGTATTTATATATGTATATATATTAAAAAAATAGTTCTAACATTGGAACATAAAGCTAATGGCAAATTAGAATACCATTTTGATTTGCATTTTTCGTTTTGTTTTTTTTTTTTTTGAGTATTATAATAAGGTAAATTATAAAAAAAAAATACATATAAATTTGAAGAAAAAGAAAAGTCAAAGAAAATGAAAATTGAATTTTTTGTTTTATTTAGTGTATAAATTAAAATTTAATAATAATTAAAAAATATATATTTATATTAATATATACGACTCTGGTTATAATTGTTAAAAATAAAAATATATATATTATCCCTGATTTTCGCGTTTGTTTTGTTTGCTGACATTTTGGCGTTTTGTAGGCTAGATTCACCCTACTATATTTATATATATATATATATAAAATTGGCATTACATATGTATTTATATATGGCATTCGTTTATATGGTTTACAGGCGGCTGACTGAAAACAATAACTAAAAATATAAACAATCAACTAGAATCATTAAATATATATAGATGTGTATATGGTGTTGCCCTGATTTCTGTGTGTGTATATACATATATATATATATATATATATGTATATATATTTATATATATGTATATATATATGTATGTGTGTGTGTGTGTGTGTGTGTCTTTATATATTCTTTAAGCGTTTCCTTTTCTATTCGTTTCTTTTCTTATATTTTCTTTGAGGTATGCGCGGCGCTTAAGCTTGTTAAATTAATTTTACAAACAATAAAAAAAAAAAAATTGGAAAAAAAAATATTACAAATAATACAATAATTAATTCATAATTAATAATAATAATACAATGCATAACATACGTGTTTGTTTTTGTGTTTTAAATTAAATTTACTGCTACAACAATTAGGAATTTCGAATACAAAAAATATGTATACCTTATATAGATATATATATATATAGTTGCTATAGTTGCTTTTGTTTTTAATATGGCAAAAATGTTTTTAAATACAACTGTGCTCTGAGCGGGCCTGTCTTCAAAGGCTAGAAGCTTGCTTAACAAACAAATAAAAAATACAAAATTCAGTACAAATTTGTTGACAAAAATATACAAAAAAAAAAAAAACTACGAAAGTTCCTCTTGAACTCAAAAATTACAAATTACAAATTACAAATGATTTCTCAAAATGGAAAATTGCTTTCCAAATACAAAAATAATAAAGTTTTCTTCTCAATTAATAAATAAAGAGACAAAAACGGATTCTCTTCAATAAGCATCTAAAACTTGTTTTCAAAAATACTTTTTTTCAAACCATTTTTCTCGACGTTAATCCAAAAGAACTTTTCTTGTTTATCGCTTATTTTTTCAATTGCAACTTTCTCAAAGTAGCTTCAAGCTTTGAGCATTTAAAAACGCGGCCCGCAAACGTGCAACCGTGCAACAACCCGCCCCCCCCTCCCAAAAAAAAAAAAATTTACTTGAAAAACACCCCTAGTAATGAGATAATAATACCCCTGGCTAATACAATTCAATATCCTTCTCTATGATATGATAGTCGTCGGTGAATTCATCTTCGTACTCGTGCTTAATATCAACAAATTCGTTTTTAATCAAATGATGCTCGCCACTGAGCAACAGTTGCTGTTGCTGTTGCTGTTGCCGTTGATGATGATGCGCATCGTCATCAACATCATCATTATCAACAACATCATCATCGTCGTCGTCGTCATCATCAAGCAGACTATCATCATCAGCAGCAACATCGTCCAGCTTGAGTGCCAAACTAGCAACTGTTGCTGCTGCTACTGCTGCTGTTGCAGTTCGAGTTGCTGCTGCTGATGCGACTGCTGCTGCTGATGCGGCTGCTGCTGCTGTTGCCGATGCAGCCTTTGCGGCGGCAACAGCAGCAGCCTTTTTGCCAACGACACGCGGACGATTGTGGGTCTCAAGATGCTTGCGCAGATGATCCTTGCGACAGAAGCCCTTCTCACAGATATCGCACATGTGCTGCTTGAGGCCCGTGTGAATCGCTTCCACGTGTCGCCGCAGATCTGTCTTGTGATGGAATTGCTTGGGGCACAGTTCGCATTTGTGCGGCTTATCCTGGGTGCGATGTCGCCCCAAGTGTGTCGTATACACATCTTCGCACTGGAATCGCTTGCCACACTTTTGACACCGATACGGATACTCACCAGAATGAAACGATTTATTGTGTTGCGTCAGGTAGCAGTTTTTGGTGAACTCCTTGTCGCATTCCAAGCACTTGATGCGACCCGATGGCAACGTTGTCGAATGTGGCGACGTTGAACCAATGCTGTTGTTTCGACGTCGCTTGCTGGGCGGCTGCTGAGCTAATATTGTTGTTGTTGTGACGGCAGCAGCACGTCGCTTCTTGGGCAGCACAGCAACAGCTTGTTGTTGTTGTTGTTGTTGCTGCTGCTGCTGCTGTTGTTCGTGTTGCTGTTGTTGCAATTGTTGCTGCTGCAGCTGCGCAAGCTCAAGTTGTTGCTGTTGCTGCAGATAATGCTGCTCAAGTTCATAATCCTGCTGCTGCTGTTGTTGTTGCTGTTGCTGTTGTGCCATGACCATTGCCATGTCCAATTCCAATGCTGGAGTTGCACGCGAACTGCTCACTGTGGGCGAGTATGCTGTGGGCGTGGTCAGCAATGTTAACGTTGTTGTTGTTGCCGACTGATGTTGCAGATGTTGCTGCTGCTGCTGCTGTTGCTGTTGCGCCTCCTGCTGTACCTGCAACGCATGCGTCAACGTGTGCACCGGCGGCAAATCGCCCTCTTGCGGCGAACGCTGTGCGGCAACCGAATATGGGGAGAGTGGTGCATGTGCCGCTGCTGCCGCTGCTGCTGCATATGGTGCAAATAGCGTGGCGGGCATCAGTTGCAATATCTGTGGATGGTGATGGGGATGATGATGATGAGCAGCGATGTCGTTGCTATTGCTGCTGCTGTTGTTGTTGTTCGCATAGGCATCATAATGGGCCGCATCGTTACCAATAATAGTGTGATAGCTCATTGTGTGCTCCAGCAATGGCGGCAGTTGCTGGTAGCAAATGTTGCTGGTGATGTTGTTGTTGCTGTTGCTGCTGCTGCTGTTGCTGCTGTTGTTGCTGCTGGTGATGTGTGGGGTGCTGTTGCTGCTGCTGCTGCTGGTGATGTGCGGCGGCGGCGGTGTTGCTGCTGTGCTGCTGATGATGTTGCTGCTGTGGTTGTTGTTGTTGTTGCAGCTGCTGTTGCTGTTGGGCGTATGGCTGCTGGCTATACTGTTGCTGCTGCTGCTGTTGCTGCTGCTGTTGTCCACCAGCAAGAGTTGCTGCTGTGGCGGCGGCGGCGACAGCTGGTATTGGTGCCCCATAGTGGTGCATGCCATGTCCATATTGATGGGCATGATGGGCAGCATGGGCGTGGGCATGGGCGTGATGGGCGTGTGCATGGGCATGGGCGTGGTGGGCGTGGTGGTAATAATGGCCGGCAGCTGCAGCTGCTGCATGCTGATGTTGCTGCTGCACGACAGCATATTGCTGTGCGGCGACAGCTGTTGCTGCGGTTGCTGCTGCTGCATATCCAAAGCCAGCATGTTGTAATCCATTCCCATAGACGGCAGCAGCGCTCCCATAGGCGGCGGCGGCGGCAGCAGCGGCGGCGTTGTGATGGTGGTGGTGATGGTGGTGCGCGAGAAATCCATTGCTTGCTCCAGTTGCTGCTGCTGCTGCTGCTGCTGGTGGTGGTGCTCCCCCTCCACCTCCTCCCGCTGCGACGGCGGCTGCGGCAGCAGCTGCTGCAGCGGCAGCGGCAGCAGCAGCTGTTGTTGTTGTTGCTCCTGCTGCTGCTGTTGGTGTTGTTGGTGGTGGTGGTGCTGTTGGTGGTAAATAGTAAGCGGCGAGTTGCTGTTGCTGCTGTGATAGCTGAGCGCTTGCTGCTGCTGCTGCTGCTGTGTTGGGTGAGCAGTTTGCAGCAAGACGTGTTGCTGCTGTTCCTCCAACTGTTGCTGCTCCAGCTGTTCCAGTTGCTGTTGCTGCTCCTCCATGACCATTGCTGAGTTGCTGTCCTCCATTTGTTCGATCTTTATAATTGTGGCTGTTGTTGTTGGTGTTGTTGTTGTTGGTGAGTTGTTGTTGTTGTTGGTGGTGGTTGTTGTTTTGTTCAGCAGGCCCCTCATTTGGGAGGACGGCATTTGTGTGTTGTTGTTGTTGTTGTTGTTGATGGGGGCGGAGGGACCTGCTAGCCCGTTTGGGTGACCGTTCAAAACGGAATTGTTGTTGTTGCTGCTGCTGCTGTTGTTGCTGTTGCTGCTGCTGTTGTTGTTGTTGATGTTGTTGCTGTTGTTAGCATGCTGTGGAGAAGCGTTTGTCGTCGATTGCACTTGTTGCTGTTGTGGTTGCATGTTGTAATGATGATAGTGGTGGCCATTGCTCGCATAGCCATTGCTGCTGCTCGCCAGCAACTGTTGCTGGTGCTGCTGCTGCTGCTGGGCGGCATTGGTGGGCGACGGCGAGGCCGAATATTGCGACATGGCGCCGCCCACCGGCACGCCCGTCGCCCCACAAACACCGCCGTAGTCCGGCGGACTGCGCGGCGGTTCCGGTGCCGTTGGCACATCACCAACTGTTGTTCCTCCACCCGCTGCTGCTGCTGCTGCGGCTGCTGCGGCGGCTGCTGCGGCGGCGGCTGCTGCTGCTGCTGCAGCATTGCCACGACGACTGGTCTTGGTGACCGGATCGCGTGCAGGATGATGATGCGCCGAAATGGGCAAAGTGGCCGGATCTGGTTGGCCACTCGACTTGACCGCATTCTTGTGCAACGTGGTATTGTAGTGCCGCTTCAAATGGCCGGAACTGGTGAACCACTTGTTGCACGCAGTGCAATTGTAGGTCTTTGGACGACGTGCCTCATTCGATTTCCAGGTGGCCGCCTTGGCCGTTAAACTGTTGGCGGGCAGCACCGAACTTGAGCTGGGTGGCTCAAAGTTGCGATATGCTGCTGCACCACCCGATCCACCCGTTGCACCAGCACCTGCACCACCACCACCACCACCCGTTGCAGCAGCAACAGACGTTGCATCATTGCCAGCAACGGCAACTGATGGATTGCCAGTGGTTGTGCTGGGATATTCAGCCGGACTGGTTGTCACCTCGGCTGTCGTCGGATCGAAAGATTTATCCACATAATGCTGCGAATCGGCGTACTCCGATTTGATGAGATACTCTTGCTTGATCATCGGCTGATACGGAGACTGTTTCGTTGCATAATAATGATGTGGCGACTTCTCCAGCAATGGTTGCATGTATGCCGGCAAACCTTCAACACCAGCCTGATGTTGTTGCAAGTGTTGCTGCTGCTGCTGTTGATGTTGCTGCTGCTGCTGATGTTGCTGTTGCTGGTGATGTTGCTGTTGATGATGTTGCTGCTGCTGCTGCTGATGCTGATGATGATGTTGCTGTTGCTCCCAGCTGTGCAGTGCACGCTGTTGCATGGATTGCATTGAGTGCAGCGGATCTGGCAATGCCAGCGGCAAACCAGCAACAAGATCATGTTGCGACAATTGTTGCTGCTGCTGCTGTTGCTGCGACAATTGTTGCTGCTGCTGCTGTTGCAGCAATTGCTGGTGGTAGACCATCTTTTGCGAGTCCAAATCGAGCAGCTCGCCACTGGCAACGGTTGGCGTCGCCGTCGGCAACTCCTCCTTGATGTAGGGTGAGCTGGCGTAGCCGCTGCTGCCATACGGCGACTCTCCGTGCACATTGGCGATGTGTTCGTGCAACTCCGTTTCGTTTGTGTTGAGTATGCCACATTTTTTGCACTGCAACTTGCAGTTGCCACCCCCGCCCCCGCCCGGCGAACTGGGCGTCACGCTGCTCAATTGCAAGTGAGACGACGTCGATGTGGGACTGCTGCTGCTGACGACACGCGGACTCATTGCTGCCGTTGCTGCAATGCTGCTGCTAACAGCAACTGTTGCTCCCGCACCCGCTCCCGCCGCTGCTGCTGCTGCTGCGGATGACTCATCAGCTGCTGCTGCCACTGTTGCTGCGGCTGCTGCAGCTGCGGCGGCTGCTGCTGCTGCCGTTGCTGGTGGTGGTGGTGGCAAAACTGAAGTCGGCTGTTGCAAGTAGGGATGATAACGCACCGCGGACACTTTGCTGTAGTCAATATAAGCGCCGCCATAATCAGAAACGGCAGCAACACTTTGCTGTTGTTGCTGTTGCTGCTGCTGTTGCTGATAGAATTGCTCGTAGCTGTTGATGTAGCTGCTCGCTGCGTAGCTGGGTTGTTGCTGCTGCAACTGTTGCTGCTGCATATCGCTGGCGTAGTAGAGTTGCTGCTGCTGCTGTTGCTGCTGCTGTGCGGCATACATTTGATGTGTGGCATAAGGCTGATGCGTTATGCCCGACGACAACTGTTGCTGCTGCTGTGCCTCGGCAGAGATTAGCGACTGTTGCTGCTGCTGCTGATGTGTTGTTGTTGTTGCTGCTGCTGCTGCTACTGTTGCTGGTGTTGCTGCTGGAGTTGTCGCTGTTGTTGTTGGCTGCGGCGTGCCTGGCTGATTATCACTGGAGTCGGCAGCGGCGCTGATTGTTGCATTCGCATTTGGCGAGGCAGCAGCAACAGTTGCAACAGTTGCTGCTGTTGCTGTTGATGTTGCTGCCGCTGTTGTTGTTGTTGTCGCTACTGCTGCTGCTGTTGTTGTTGTGCTGTTGTTGCTGCTGCTACTGCCGCCGCCGCTGTCTGTTGCAATGCCGCTGCTACTGCTGCTGCTGCTGCTGGCGGCGGCGGCGGTTAGCGTCTCGGCCGCGTGCAGTGGCGGCATTTCACTTTTTATGCTCGCCATTAAGCGACGACGTTGGCGTCTGCGTCGGCGTCGGCTGCGTCGCGCTGCTGCTGCTCATGTGGCTCGCTGTTATTGTTGCTGCTGCTGTTATTTTTATTTTTTATTGTTGTTTTCTTTTCGTTGGCTGATTTGCCGATCGTTTTGTTGTTTGTTTTTTGTTTTTGGTATTTTTGTTTTATTTCGTATTTGTACTGCGAAAAATTGTGATAAATTGTATATTATTCAATTTGATTTGGAATTTGGATTTATTGTTTTTGTCAAGTAGAGAAAAAACACAAAACAAAACAAAAAAAAAGAAAGGCTTTTTAATCGTTCAATTTAATACACTCGATTCTCTGCTTATTGTTATTGGTTTGTTAAGCGTTTATTTTCGCATTTATTTTTAACTGCAAAGTGTTAGCAATTAATTAAAAATTCAATTTGCATTTGCATTTAACATTAACGCAGGCACTCACATAAACACACATACACATGCACACTGCACATTGCACTGTTATTGCGCTCTTTGCTGCTGTTACCAGCCCTGCGCTCCTTTTTTTTTCGTTTGCTTTGATTGTTTTTGCATGTGTTCAAAGAGAGCAAGAGAGAGGAGTGTAGAAACAATTACTAACGTGATCACTGAACAATAGCAGTAGCAACAGCAACTGCAGTTTTTTTATATATTTTCACTAATCGAAGAAAAAAAAGTACAATAGAAACACAAAAAAAAAAAAGAAGAGGAAAGCATGAAATGCAAAAATGCATTTGCATTTGCAGCTGTTATTGCTCTCTTCGAAAATGCAGCTGCTCTTTTGTTGCTGCTGCTGCTCTGCTGCTGTTACTGCTGCTGCTCTGCTGCTGCTTTCACATTTCTTTATATTGTGTTTTGCATTCACGCAAAAAAAAAAACAAGTACATAACAAGCAACGATGATGATGATGATCAGCTATTTATCTGTCCATTGCTATCGCCATCTTCGTCGCTGTTGTTGTTATTGCTGCTGCTGTTGTTTGTTGTTGTTGGTTTTGCTTACTTATCTGCGCCTTCGCTTTGTGCAGTTCTTAGCGGCTTGCTGCTAAACTTTGTCCGTCTCCGCTGCTGCTGCTGATTCTTCACCGAACACAAGACAACTGAAGAATAATAACATAAAAAAAAATACCGAAACGAAGAACTCGAAGAATTGTTGGATTCTTTTTTTTTGTTTTTTGTATTTTGCGCGTTGCTCAAATTTAGAATTTTGATTTTTGTTTCGTTCACCGGCAAGTTTCTCGACCGTTTTCTTCTTTCTCTTTTCTTATTCTTTTTGTTCTCTCTTCTTTTTTTTCGTGTTGTTTCTTTACTTTTTGTTGGTTAGCTTACAATTTTTATTAAGAGCACGATCACTTTTCGGATTTGGGTTTTTTGTTTTAACAGAACAAAAAAAATGTTTACGAACACAAATGGGGAAAAACAATAATAACGATTTAAACTTCTTTTTGAAGTGTCTTTTTTTTTAAAGGTATTTTCCTTCTTTTTTTTGCGTGTTTTAGTCCGAAATAGTTTTTTTGCCAAAAATGTTGTTATAGATTTTTTTGTTGATTTTTTTTTAAATATATATTTTTGTGTTTTTACATGTACAAAGAAAATGGAAACAAAAAAGGGCGCTAAAAGCTAAAATAGCCGCTCCGCTCCGTTCGCACGCTTCGTCGCTTATTCGCCCGTGTCCTTCTTTCTGCTACGGCGTTCCAAATACAAATGACGGAACGGAATTGTGTTTCCAAATACAAATGACCGACGTGCATGCGGCATTCTGGGCAGCAGCAGCAGCGGCAGAACGCACACACACACGCACACACATACACATACACGTACGCACACGCACAAATGGGCGCGCATAGAAGCAGCAGCAGCAGCGACGCTGGCAGCAACCACTGCGCTGCTGCTGCTGTTACTGTATGTGTGCGTATGTGTGCTATGTACAGCAACAGCGCGTTTATGTGTTTTTCGCTGACGCCGCTGCCATCGTTGCCGTCGCCGTCGCTGCCTTCGCCGCTCTTTCTGTCTCTTTCTATGGCTGCATTTGTTTTTGCTTTGCCAACGCCGGCGCTGCTTTTGCATTAGTTCTTTTTGTTGTGTGTTTTTTTGCATTTTATTTGCTTTTTATCATCTATGTGTATGTATATATATATATATATATATATATATATAAATACAAATATATATATATATATATATATATATATATTTAGAAATGGACAAAATTTTGTTTCACTTGCAGCAAAAGTGTCGTCGCTTAAAGCTCAGCTTGAATATGGCTCAGAGCACAGCAAGTTGGCTAAAATCAATTTTGATTTCGCTTCACAATTTGCAAAATTTCGAGTGAAAAATGGAAAAATTGAAATAAATCGCAGTTCTTTTTGTTTTTGTTTTAATCTAACTTTTAACAGCTGTTTAACTTAATCAATGCGGCTTATTTGTTGGATTTGTTGTATGGCCATTATTATTTAGCCGACACATTCCTGCTCGATTAGCCAGTTTGTTTGACTCACCAAGCCTTTCTCAGACTGAAGACTCCCACACACACATACACACACACATATGTATATATAAATCTCACACACTACTGGCCTAGTTTCTGTTGTTGCCATTTTGATACTCGTAAAACTTGTCAACGCTTTAAAATTAATAAACTCAACTTTTACGACAAAAAAATATATCAAATAAAAAAATATATATACACATATATAATACATATACTAGGCATAAGGGTGAACAACTACAAAAACTAACAGGGCAGAGTGCCCGACTAGCCGATACCCTGTTCCACACTTCTTCATTGGCGTTTCTTCATTAAGTTTTCTGAGGAGATTTGTTAACCAAATAGTAAAATATATTTTATATTATATATATATATATATATATATATATGGATACTATAATCTTTTAAATTATATATGATTTTCAGCAATCGATTAATATCGATCTTAAAGCAACGTGCAAAGTTATCGATCGAAGATTTTAAACTTGATTTGCTAAATTCGACAGATCTTATTTAACATCTCTATGTACACTGGATTTTGGATAAAACGCTTGTTATCAATTGGACAGAAATGCAATGAGTTATCGATAAAGCGAATTTAAGTTTGATTTTCTGAATTCAAGGTATGCGGACGTGTCGATATAGCCTGATATAAGCTTTGCGATTTTGGACACAACGGTTGTAATCGATTTTCGAGAAACAAACGAAGTTATCGATAGTTAATTAACTAAAAGGTTGATTGAGCCAAATTCAATTAATCAATATTAAATAAAATAAATAAATATATTCTCCTTCTTCTTCTGCCTTGACTCAATGATGCTGTCCTTGCTACCCATTTGTAATGCGTACAGGGTAAAAAAAAAACTAAAAATAGCTGTGCGAAAAGAGTTTGAGTTGAATGCTTTTTTTTATTCATTTTTTTGTTGTTTTTGTTGTTGGCTGCCCAGAAGTATTTAAAAATCTCACAAGGCAAATACCCAGCTAATGGCGCTCGGATACAGATACACCGATACAAATCCCCACACACACACACACACACATACACACACGTTTGCGTGGGCCTTGAGGAAGAGTTGAGAGAGAGATGATGAAGAAGAAGAAGAAGAAGAGGGAGAAGCAGAAGAAGGCACGCCGAAAATTTACATACATGATTGTCATAAAAAATCAGCAAGCAAATTGTCAAATCCCTAAACTGACAATAAAACAATAAAGAAGACGACGCCGAAGACTGCGAAACACGACGAAGAAGTGGATGGATAGATGTTCGGTTGGAGGGAGGGTTGGAAGCAGGGAGAGGGCGACGTAGGCACAGATGAAGCCAGCGACAAAGGTTTGTCAGAGGGGGAAGTGGAGAAGAGGCAAGGAAAGAGGAGGGGGTAGCGACAGATTGCAGAGACATAAGCAATGGGCACCAAAACGGGCCGCAAACTTAACAAAAAAAACCAACAAAATCTCTGAATGTGTGCGAATGTGTGTGCGTATGCTTAACTACAGTGGGCAGTGGCTAAGAGCAACTGGCGTGGCTCTAACTTTAATGCAAAAATTTCAAACATAATTAATTATTTATAATATTTCAAATATACAACTGAAACGTAAAATGAAACTAGTCTGCTTATGTTAAGTTTTGTACATTCAAAAATCTTTCATAAAGAATCTTCCATGTACCCAAAACAAATGCAAACACACACATGTACATACAGAATTGAATAGAAATGCGCGCATGTGTAAAGCAAAGACAAGGCCAAGGAGCAGCGACAGCAATACACACATATACACACACGTACACATGTACATACTAAGCAGTATAAGAGCAATCATAATAACAGCAGAGTAAAAGCTTCAATTTTGATCTTAAGCAGCTGATGCGTTGCTGCTGCCGGCTCAGGTGTGCAGTGGGATTAGGCAGTTTTATGGCGCATTTATGACACGCAACAGTTACGAGAGCGCTGGCGCTGGCGCAGACGCAGACGCAGACGCAGGTAGCGAGCCTAACACAACTCTAATTACAAGGTGCGTGTGTGTCGTGCAGTGGCAGCGACAGCAACAGCGGCAACGGTAGAGGCTTTGCGTGTCAGCGTCAATCACAGCTAGCGATTGCAAGTCCTTAAGTCCACTCTCTTTCTCCCTTTCGCTCTCTTCGTGCGTGCGTGCGTGTACGTGCGTGTGTGTGTCAGTTAATGACTTTTTAATTGAGCGCGTACAGCTGTCATTGTCAACGCCGTTACTTTTTAATTACGAGTGCGAGCCGCTGCGCAGCGCAAGAGAGCGCTTGAAGTAGCATGAGAGAGCGCCAGATGGAGTGAGAACAACAACAACAACAAGAAAACAAGAGCTTAAGCCGCTGCCACCGCAGCTTAAACTTCAGTTTGAACTTCGTTGTTGGCTGGGCCTTTGGATTCTGCTTATGTAATGCGAGCGCCGCTCTGGAAAGCCATTGGCGCCGCTGCTCGCGTCGCAGTTGCCAACATACTTACGTACACATGTAAATATATATATATATACACATACAATACATACATACACATGACTCACGCTCGCATTGGCTCAGGGCCAAAGCCGTTGGTTGCCTAGTCTCCCCCTCCCCCCA